AAAATTTTGAAAACACCTGCCATGCCATCTCCTAGAGAGAACCACTCTAAAACAGGTTGACTTACACACTTCCTTTATTTTTTCTATCTTTACGCACACATTTTGATTAAAATTGTACTTATTATTTTGCAAACTATCTTCTCTTAACTGTTTTCCCTTTCATCACTCCATGTCAATGTTACAGTAACCTTTTGTTGTTGTTGTTGACTGGTTTTTATTTCAAAACCAAGAGATGCTTTTGTTAAAAATTTCAGAGTATAAAGTAAAATCTAAAAGTCTCTCCTCATCTCCTCCCTCCCAGTCTCACTCCCCTGAGGTAACCCTCAGGTTTTTCTCTTAATAGTTATCTCCAGAAACTTTCTATGTACACACACACACACGAATGTATCACAAGGTACTCAATCAAATCCCATTATGTGGAAATTCAGGGTTTTTCCAGTTTTCACTGCATCTCTGTGGTTAAATCTTTGCATGCAACTGTGATTATTTCCTTAAGATAAATTCTAGAAAACAAATTTCTAGGGGCGCCTGGATGGCTCAGTCTAGAAAACCAAGCATCTGACTTGGTTTCAGCTTAGATCATGATCCCACGGTTTTGTGGGTTCGAGCCCCTCATCAGGCTCTGCGCTGGCAGCATGGAGCCTGTTTGGGATTCTCTGTCTCCCTCTCTGTTTGCGCCTCCCCCATTCGAGCTGTCTCTGTGTCTCTCAAAAATAAATAAATAAACTTAACAAAAAAGTTAGAAAACAAATTGCTAAATTGAAAGACACAATTTTAGTGCTTTTGATATGTGCAGCCCATTTGCCCTTCACATGGCTTGTGACAATTTGACACTCTTCCCGGTAAACAACACTGAACTTTTTTAAACTTTTAAAAGTATAACACCCATATAGAAAAGTGGACAAGCCCTAAGTTGGAATTGCACTATTCAATATGGTAGCCACTAAACACATGTGACTGCTGAGCACTTGAAATGTAGCCAGTCTGAATTGAGGTACACTAGAAGTGTAAAAAGAAACACTCACTTTCAAAGAATTGGTGCCAAAAAATAATGGAAAATGTCTCATTAATAATTTTATGCTAATAATATATTGAAATGATATTTCGGATGTATTAAGCAAAATATATTATTAAAGTTAATTTTACTTGTGTCTTCTCACTTTTTTAATGTGACTACCAGAGAAGTTTTCGTTATATATATTCTTGAATTATATTTCTCTTGGACAACACAAAGTAGGACATAGTATGGCTCCTCAGATAACAATACCTACCACCTGAGCCATCCACTCCTCATTTGCTTCTCTTCCCCTGCCTGGTTTTCTCCAGCGCCCCCAGCTTCCTGTGCCTCAGTTATACCCGGGGCTCTTAGAACTAATGTAGCACTCTTTGCCACTCCAATTCTTTGCCAGGAATGATCAATAAACTCGATAAAAGTGAGCATCCACTTATGAAGGTAATGAGGTGGCAGATTAAGACAGTACCATAAGGTATAAACTCTGAGTCGCAAATGGAATCATTTGTCAATTAATTTGTTAGGATGTGTAAGTATTTAGGCTTCAGAAATTGCCACTGAGTTTAATATCATGTCCTACCGAAATGTGCACACGGGGCACAGACAGGATACACATACTCGAGAGTCAGTTCATTGATGGAAGTTCGCCGTCCCTCTACGCCTCAATTTTGTTTTTCTTTCCCGTGAAGTGAAGATGATGGAGTAAGGCACATAGTTCCAGACAAGAGTAGTCAGCACTTTGTAAACTCTGGGGGCTGAAGAGATTACCAGGAGATTGCCGGGGCTGTGGGAGCAGCTAGTGGCTGTTTTCTCTCACTCTCCGCCTCCTGAGGTTTGCTCACCCTTCCCATCAGCCCTCCACTTGCCCTTCCACATATATTAACCGTACCAAACACACCCTAGGTACACACAGCTTTTCATCAAAGACAAATGCCATTCACAGGTTGGCTCCCATTCCCAATCCCTCCAGGATAGAAGCAAAATGCAGATAAGGAGGAGGAAAAAGGCCCTTGGGTAAGCATACGAATCTTGCTTGCTTCTGCCCTGTTGTTGGCTTACATCTTGTCCTTTGGATCACTTTTTCATTGGACTCCGCTTTAGTGTTAAAAACAAAAACAAAACAATAAGAGAAGATTTTTTAAAAAATCATCTTAAAGTATTTTGGGCTCGATTATATGCTCGGACATTTGGAATCTGGCCAAAACCCTTGCCTCATTTCACTGTTGCAGGCTAAGTGGCCTCTTTTGGGAAGATATCCAGGTAAGAGGAGTTAAAGCAAATAAACATCTCTGTTCCGACCTGTCTTCACCATTCTTTTGTTGTGATTGTATTATGCTTAGTTGTGTGAGAATAATGTTTCTAGTTCTTCAGAAGCCTCTACTCAGAGTTTTTATAAAATTGCATTGTGATAAAGAACAAATATAACCTTTTAACAAGGAAAATGAAAGTTCTCTGTAAAAGACTTCCTCCCTCTAAATTTAGAGAATAAGGGAAATACCTTGTTGAAAGAGAGTGAACCAAGAATTGAAGGAGCACTATCTTTTTTCCATTACTGTTCTGACCTACTCAATGAACTTCAGCAAAATTCTTCTAAGCCTTAATTTTGCTGTCTGTGAATTGGGGACAGAGTATTCCCCTTTCTTCCTATGTTCATATGGACATTGCAATAAACTAATGCAAAAGGAATAAATTATGCCTTGGGCTGCAGTGGTCTTTACTGACATTTGAAATTCCGTTCTAACTCTAGATTCTATGGTTATAAATAATAAATACTTTCTCTTTCCAACCACTGTGTATTTAAATACTCTGGTAAAATCTAAAGACTTCTTTCTTTTTTTTTTTTTAAACATTTATTTATTTTTGAGACAGAGAGAGACAGAGCATGAATGGGGGAGGGTCAAAGAGAGAGGGAGACACAGAATCTGAAACAGGCTCCAGGCTCTGAGCTGTCAGCACAGAGACGCGGGGCTTGAACTCACAGACTGCAAGATCATGACCTGAGCTGAAGTCGGACGCTCAACCGACTGAGCCACCAGGTGCCCCTAAAAGACTTCTTTCTTATCTCACTAAGCCAGGCTATAATTTTTGCCTTGCACAGACTACCAAGAACCTCTTTTCTCTTTTTATAGTCAAAGCTGAGCACATAACTCTTAAGGTCTTTCTACCTCCCCTCTCTTTGTCCTATTACCCAAGGGTGAAGCAAATTGAGAAGCTTTCAGGGGTGCTATTGGATAAACAAAGTTGAGTAACCTTCCAGCAGCATTGGATGAGCCAGAGACTCAATGAACCCCCTTTTGGTTAAAGAAACTATTGGAACTTTGAGAATAAAACAGTTCCCTCTCTTCTCATCAGCAGGATGAAGCCAATACCTGTAAAATGGCAGATTTCTAATGAAAACATAACTATGTCCTGAATAGTATGGTATAAAAACATTATGATCTTTTTTTAAAACAAAGGGGCTTATGCACTACATAAATTTATTTTTATTTTATTTTTTAAGTTTGTTTATTTTGAGAGAGAGAGAAAGCACGAGTCGGGGAGGGCCAGAGAGAGAGCAGAAAAGAGGGAATCCGAAGCAGGCTCCACACTGTCAGAATAGAGCCAGATGAGGGATTCAGACTCACAAATCGTGAGATCATGACCTGAGCCTAAATCAAGAGTTGGACACTTAACTGAGCCACCCAGGCACCCCTATAAAGTTATTTTTATTTTCAGACTAGTTTTCCTATCAAAAGCACTACTTCCCAGAATAATTTGCCTGCTCAAAGTTTTGAAAACATTGTCCGCGAAAAACAAAACTGAGTATAAACTGAAAGTCTATAGATACCACTGGCCCATGGGTACTCATAAAGTTTCATTAATAATATCAGCCTAAATGACATTGGTTGGTGCCCTTGATAGCTCACCCAGGACCTCCAGTCTCTGGACACCCTTCTTCTGTCTCCCATCATAGGGCGGTCAATAGGATGTGTCCCCCATGTGTGCCTGGGTTTGGCAGAATCTGCTAGACAATGCTTCTCTTTGCCTGGGCAGCAGAGTCTCTCTTGGGATTCCACTAAGAACAACCTGTACCTTAAGCATTTCTTCTCCTATGGCCAAGTACATCAGATTCCTCAAGGAACCAAAATCACTTCCCCTCCCTTCCTGTGACACACTGTTAGAGCACTCCTCAAACAGTATTATTTGTGTCTTGGTATTTTGCAGAGATTTGGTGAAGTAGCTTTTGGGTTTTTACTTACTGGCTTCCTGCTCTCTGTAAGTTGGATATGAAGGCTATTAAAGAATGAGATGGGGGCACCTGGGTGGCTCAGTCGGTTGAGCGTCCGACTTCGGCTCAGGTCATTATCTCGCAGTTCGTGAGTTCGAGCCCCGCGTTGGGCTCTGTGCTGACAGCTCAGAGCTTGGAGCTTGTTTCAGATTCTGTGTCTCCCTCTCTCTCTGACCCTCCCACGTTCATGCTCTGCCTCTCTCTGTCTCAAAAATAAATAAACGTTAAAAAAAATTAAAAAATTTTTTAAAAATTTAAAAAAAAAATGAGGAGGCCAGAGAGATTCAGGCCAAGAACCAGCCTTCTTTCATACTCAAGATTGCCCCTCTCCTCTGACAACAAGACTTCATCTTGAGACTGGATCTCTCTTTTCTTGATATGAATGCTCTCCCAGGAGATTTCAGTAACCCCCACCAGAACGTTCAGGTTTCCCCTCTCATTCACTCAACAAGCCTGGATCTCCTGCAGCAGGCACATCCCAAACACAAGCGAAGATCCCTACTAAGTGAAGATTTCCTCTTATTTTCATGGAAATCATCCCAGACCAACCCCAGGGATTGAAATTGAGGTGAAGAGGTTGTGGGTTGAGGATGGGAGCAAAGTAGAAGTCAGTGGTGAGGATGGTAGGGGGATGGGGGTGAGGCATAGAGGGAGGCTAAGTTTTCAAGAAGGCGCCAGGGTGCTTTGTCTCTTCACTCAGGGTCTGTGTTCTCTCTGCAGAATGACATCTTCGAGTGGTCCAGGGACCACCGAGTCCACCACAAGTACTCAGAGACCGATGCTGACCCACACAATGCCCGCCGGGGCTTCTTCTTCTCTCATATCGGGTGGCTCTTTGTTCGCAAACATCCAGATGTCATTGAGAAGGGGAGAAAACTTGACCTCACTGACCTGCTGGCTGATCCTGTGGTCCGATTCCAGAGAAAGTAAGTGAACAGACACCATAGACTTGTCCCTCGGGGACAGGACCAAGAGACAGAGCACAATGGAGTGCAATAATACCCCCAAGTAGTTCTCCTCATACCACTTACTCTCTTATTAGGATTTATCTCTGTTTATTCATTTTCTTTTGCTCATTAAGTCTTCCCTATTTACACAATTGTTTTAATTTTAATTTTAAATGGATTTCCTTTATGCCCAAATGTCATTTCCTTCAGACCAACCCACATGACTGATTTCACGGAATCTTTTTCTGTAGTTCCCTACTCCCCCATTAGAGTTTCCCTGGGGTGGTGGGGAGGGCGGGGAGAACTTACTTCATTTTAGTGATCCTTGACTCCAACAGCATTGGACTCTATCCAGGTATACTTCTCTGTTCTCCTGGAATTCTCTTATAGTGATGCCTCTCTTCCCCTGACTCCTAGAAATGTTACACGAGTAGATTTTTCTGCAGAGGAAATGTGATCATGTAACAGAGAGCCTCAAAATGCTTGTGTGCACTAATGGTGTTAGCTGAGCGTATTCAGCCAGTCAGCATTTACAAGATAAATCTACTCTCAACAGGCACATGGAGAAAATCACTTGTAATTGTGCTGGCAGATAGAGTGGCTATTTTTCACCTTTACCAGGAAGCTGGCATAGACTATGTCCATGTTGGTCTGGATCTGCAAAGTTGGCCACTATGAGAGCATTTATAAATGGACTTTTTGCCCCAAAGTAATGAATTTATGTGCAAAGAGAGACAATTTATGAATTACACTCTGGCTAGAGTCTTGATATAATATGGTGAAAACGTGGTTACCAGAGGCCATCTCCACTGACAAGCAAGAGTCATATTTGAGACCTTATCTGAATAGAAACTCCTGAAAACAGAAATGGAGGCTGTGCCTTTGTCTGACACAAACGATTCTTGCATGAAAGGAAGTACGGCTTAGAACTGTGCTCACTTTCCCCCCGGCCTCCCTCTTTACATTGGAGTGGGCAGCAGCACATAGTGAGAAAATGGCGGACCGTGGAGATAGACTGCCTAGGATCAAACTTTGTGGCTCCTCCATGTGCTAGTAAAGACTGGCTCTTGACCATTATCTCCTACAGTTCTTATGAGCACATAATGGAAAAAAAATGTATGGGAAATGCCTGGCTCATAGTTAAGAGCTTAGATCAGTGATTATTATTATTCCACAGGCAGTTGCTAGTTCAGAGGACTCAGTGTGTTTCCATCCCCTGCTTCTGTTGGTTTCTCCAGAGGGTCACTGTGTGCCTCAACACAGCTCTTTCTGGTGGACACACCCAGTATCAGTAGCCAAAAGTTCTCTAGCAGAAAATAACAAGAGGTTTTTTGATGAACAATTAAATGATTTATTCGTTTTGATTTTTCACCATAAAGTCTTAAAAATCATTAAAGAAAATCTGCAAAATTCAGAACAGTGGAAAGAAAATAATTCAAGTCCTAACACATAAACACAGCCACAATTAATAATCTGTAGTGTATCTTTCCATATTTTGTCCACATATCTGATATATTTCATATGATGACAAGCATACTGCATATGTAATTTTATGTCTTGCTTTTGAACTTCAGATTATGTTGGAGGCACCATTGTTGAAGGCTGTGTGAGTTCACTAGTTGAGTGTCACGGTTTATTTAACGATCACTCTGCAGCTGAATATGTGTGTCATTTCCAATTCTGTGATATAAATGATGTTGCTATATAATTAGTAATGCTTTGGGACAATCAGGCCTTAGATTAATTTGAAGAGCTCAGATGAGAAGGCAAAGGATCTTCTATTTTATTAATGAGAACTGGGCTGAGTATAATAGTCTGGGTTTCTCTCACCATAAAAATGGAAGATCTTTTTTTCATCTTTTTCCTTAAAAATGTGGTAATTTGATTCATTAGATTTGTACTCATGGCACTTATGTCCAAAGACTATTTCTAAATGCAAGCAGAAGAACAGAGACTATTTCAGCATGTTCCCTAAATAGTTACCTGAGAATATCTTTCCTCACCAGCCCAGTGACCAAAGGGGGTTGTAGCTATCCATCCACTCATATCATCCAGTCATATCATCATTTCGTATATACCATTGAGCTCCTGCTAAGAATTGGTGTTGAGGATACAACCTTCAAGATTGGCGGCTGTATCCCCCAGATTTGCAGACCAGCAGGGATCCCACAAATAAATGTACAGACAGTTATACCCTCGTGAGAGAAGTATTGTAAAAGCGTGCCACAGGAACACAATACAGGCTGGTGAGGGTGAGGGAGGGCCTAGGAAAGAAACTAGCTTCTAGGCCAAGACCTGAAAGATGACAAGAAGTTAGATGAAGATGGGGGAAAGGATATTTAATATATCTGTCAATACATAGAACTATATAGAGCCATTGAACTTTAGAACAGGGAGGGACTTTGTAAATCATTTAGCTCATGCCTTCCATTTCTCCTATGGGAAAACTAATAAACAAAATATAGGTAGAAGGTTGGGGATAGAAGTACTGCCGTGGTCTTTTGGGGCTGCTATAACAAAAATACCATAGACTAGGTAACTTAGACAGCTACATTTATTTCTCACAGTTTTGCAGGCTGGGAAGTCCAAAATTAAGGTGCCACAGATTTGGTGTCTAGTGAGAGCTCTCTTCCTGCTTCATAGACAGCCTCCTTCCTGCTGTTTCTACACATGGCAGAAGCGGGGAAGGAGCTCTCTGGGGGTCTCTTTTGTAAGGACACTAATCCCATTTGTGAGGCCTCCACCCTCATGATCTAATCACCCCCAAAGGCCCACCTCCTAATGCCATTGCACTGGGAATTAGGTTTCAACGTGTGAATTTTGGGGGGACACAAATATTACCCTGTGGCAAGCACCTACATCTCAAATTATTTGCTCCGTGTTCTTTTGATTATACCTTGCTGTTTGAAAAGGGTTACAACGGTTCTCTTAAGTGTAGGTGAGTACTCATGTTCATTGGTAATTATCCAGCCTGGAGAACACAGAGATCCATAATCTGAAATAAGGCTTAGAATCACTGCACTAAAGGAGAGAGCTTCCAGAATACACAGAGGTAGTACAAGGGTTTGGATATTTTCAAGTCTGTGAAGCCAGCTTTATTGGTTCTGCCAGTCAGACTATATGGAGGCAACAGATTCCTTAAAGAATGAGTCCTTGCACTTGGGGTGTAAGCTGGAGGAGGGATGGACCCTGTCATTGGCAGGACTGCCACATCAAGTCTAAGTCCTTGCTACCCTTAGCTGAATGGGGGACTCCTTGCATAACAGAGATTCGGCCCTGGGTCACTTTGATAGTACACCTTATAGAGTTGATCTCCTTGTCAGAATCCCCACCTGCTCCTCTATGGTTCTCTGAGGGCACCAGGCTCTGTTCTGGTTTTGATCCCCGGGGTTTGCAGCTAATTCACTAATGTTAGTGCTGCTCCAGCACTAATATTGCAGTTGGTTGATAAACTTGTGCTCAGCCATCCTCATGACAGTTTACCAAATAAAAGCTTGCCTTGTCAGAGAGCCAGGCTTGATCAACTTTCCATTATACAGTATAACAAAAGAGAGAAGATAGTGGCATTAAACATAACAGGAGGACAACACAGTTCAAGCAATAATTCTAGAGTTTTCCTCTAAAGAAAATTTTACCAAGGCTATGATAACAAGTAGTTAACTGGACTCCTTCAAGTTTTGCTCTGCTGCCTGGTTGTGAATGACAAAATGGCAGGCATTAGGAGGTGAGAGGGAGAGAAGCTAGTGGTATCACATTCAGACTTTGGCAACTGAGCCCTGCCTGAGGTTCTATGCCTACAAGAGCTGTGCTTTTCCCTACAGGGTGAGGAGATCACAGGGCAGAGGCACATACCACCTGGAATCTTCTCCCACTTGTATACGTTGCCTTGGGCTCCAAGGAACCTAGAATTCCCTGTCCAAATGGCTCTGAGCCTACTTCCAGAGCCTACACTGGCCTCTCCAGGGCTCTGTCCTCCTGGTAGAGATGTGTACACCCTAGTCCTGAACAGTGGCCAAGAGGCAGTCTTAGCCTGGAGATGAGTTTGGCTGTCCATAGAAAGAGGATAGAACTAGGGGTGGAAAGAGAATGGGGCAGATCACAGGCTAAGGGCCTCCATCTCTGTTCCTGGTCTAGGCCCTACGAATATCAGGGTGAGCCTAGAAGGGGGCCACTCATAAGACTGGCAGTAGGTCTGTCAGTTAGGAATTGTGTTTGGCCAAAACAGAATAGAAGTTTATTTCCCTCACATATAAAAGAATTGTGAAGGCCCAGGTTATGGTAGCAACAGTGTCAGTTGAAAACCAGATTCTTTGATCTTTCTGCTCCACCAACCTTAGCATGTGACTTTCATTCTTTCATTTTAAGGTCCAATGTGACCACTAGAGCCCTAATCAGAAGGAAGGTGAGGGTGAGGGGTAACACTGCTCACCTGAGTCAGTCACCTATAAGGAGCTTTCCCAGGAGCCACATACAGCCTATCCACGCACCTCTCATTAACCATGTCAGGAAATGTAGTTTCTTGGTTGATGCCTTACACCCTTGCATAAATTCCTGGTTTTGTTCCCATGGAAGAAAGTACGAATTGGTATGAGGTAGGCTCTCCCGTAGGTACTTAATTACTTAAGCAAAATAACTAGCCATCACAAGTGGCTCAGTCTGACAACGTTTTCATTATAAAGCAAGTGAGTGGACTTTCTGCCACCATTTTCTAAGCAGAAACTGGAATCTCACATCATTTTTCCAAGATGGCAGAATGAGGATAAAAATCCAGAGGCTGTTCTTCCTAATGCTTTGCTTATCCCATTGATTCCCATATTAGATAAGAAATTCCCTTAGAAGTAGCATGCAGACAATGTCATGTGTATTTTTGAAGGAGTTAACAAGGATACTAAGCCAGACACATGAAAACAAGGTCCTTGCCTCATCGCCATAGTATGGGATTAGCTAAGAGAAAAATGGTTGGAGTGATTCAGAAAGGT